AAAGATTTGAAAGTATCATCATGACCATGAAGAATATATGAGCCATATATTTCAGTTGAAAAAACAGGAAAAAGGGTTTCTCTGATCATTTTGGTATGCATACCTGGAAAACCTACTTTGATGTTTAACAAGTGTTTATATTTGGAAATAATCAAAAGTTCTTTGTACACTGTATTTCTAATTTAGAGAAAAAGAGGTTCTGGTATTAAGTAAATGAAATTTTCATCGTGCATGGTGCAGTCAGGCGATATTGATCTGTTACCTAAATTGACCCATATCACATATTTTTTTCTTTTTATACATAAAAACTTTCTAAATATATTTTAACATATAAGAAGACCCAAGTTTTAAAAGAAAGCTTCTCTATGAATAATCAGGTTAGGGTCAGTTAATCCCTCTTGGTGTGTTTTCTTGATTTTTTCCCCATACATTCGGAAAGCGAGGGGACATTTAATTTCATTCATTTGTCCGTCTGTAAGTGTCTGTCTGTCTGTCACAAAATCTTTAACTCTGGTCATCTTTTGAATCATGAGAAGAGACAAGCTTTCATATAACACATGTGTATCACTTGTGACAAGACTTTTCTGAATACAATATGATTTTTTACCCTGTGACCTTGAAGTATGACCTGGGTTCATATGCATAAAAAATCTAAGAATTTTTATTAAGTATTATACTTATTCCCAGATCAAACTGCTTAACTAAGAAACATACTTTAAGTTTCATGCATAAAAATTCTAAGTGCCTTACTTAGTGCATCATAGCAAAGCATATCACTTCTTGCTTAAAATAAAACGTCACAATGGTGTGACGTCATTGCGGGTTTTGACGATATTGAATCTCCCGTTTTACGTCATCATCATCGTCTGAATATGGCAGAGAAGAAACGTAAACCAAACTGGACACTGGAAGAATGTTTACATTTAACGCGTTTATTTAACGATAATAAGAAAATTTTGAGGGCTAAATTCGGCGCCGGAGTGACCACTCAAAAGAAGAGGGAAGTATGGAAAAATGTTACTGAAGCAATTAATGCAGCCAACCCTTCAACCGTCCGGTCTATAGAAGTCGAAAAGAAGTGGCATAACATCCACATGAAGGGGAGGGGAGAAATATCTGATTTTAGAAGAAGTTTGCAGAAAACAGGTTCGTGAAATGCTTGGTATGCTTGTTATGTCAGCCATGTTGTTTACCGTACCTAAGATACAAGTGATATAAGGGTGATAACTCTATTGTCGGTATTGAGGCATTATATATAACGGGATGTAAGCAGTAGGCCCTAGATCTAACTGTGAAATTCTGAAATTGATATTCCAAGTCAAGAGACTCATAGTGTATTAAAAATTTATTTTATAAAGTACCAAAGTTACATGTGTAATAATGTACCGTAGGACTTTTGGGTCGTTTAAATTCGAATGACAGGCGTCAAAGACTGAAAGAGTAGACTGTGTCAAATTTGGAAATTATTTTAGCACGGAAAGATTACGGAAATTTGGACGACCTTGGTAATCATGCAGATTGTTTATTTTGATTTATTAGTATATTATAGGTCATAGTCTCACTGTGTTTACCCTAATGGCCTGTGCGAGAATATAACCATACCTTTATTTTATATAACCCCCCCCCCCCCCCGACAAGCAATTTCATTTACCGAAAATACTTTACACAATCTAATAAATAGTAGATGGTAGATCCTCTCACATACTCGCTACACTTACATTGGATCTAACATCTACTTTTAATTAGATTGTGCACACCGCGAATAACTTTTAGATTTTCCAAACAAATGCGTAGATCTATGTAATAATGATTTGTTCAGAAAAAAAATCATATACTATAGTGAATTACAATCAGCTCGAAATTAGCAAGCCATAGTGAAAAAAATATTACTATCTCAGCTAAAGTGATCCCCGGTATTTTTTGATAAAGAAAATGTAAACTTTTTTATATACATGAAATAATGGATATATCTTTTTGAAAGCAACAAAAACAAATTTTAAATAAAAACAAAATGCTTCAATTTGCATAGGTGGAGGACCGGCAGAGAAACCATTAAGTGCATTGTCACAAGCTGTTGAGGAGGTAATTGGTGAGGAAAATGTTTCTATCTGCGGAATATCTGGGGCCTTTGATTCCTCTTTGATGACGTTTAACAATTTCAACAGGGGCATGGAAGACATTTCATCGAGTTCACTGCAAGGGTAAGGTTTTCTTAAGTGTCAGTCAACTTTATTACCTTTTTTTTTAAATCTCGATAATGACTGTTCTGGCTGATTTTTTTTTTTTTTTGAATAGTAAATCGATAATTTGATGCTCATAAATGACGAGTATAATTCTTTAAAAATTATTTTTAAACAGACGAGTGGTGGAGGATTTTCAGCTCGACCCACAGCTCTCAACGTGCACGAGTCAGCCCATTATCCAAGAAGACGTGTCACTGGCTATCTCGGCCTTCCCGATGCCGCCAAATTCTCCAAAAGAAACTACAGCTACATGTAACCTAGCTAGAGAGAAACTTCAACTCGAAGTTGAGAAGCTCCGTCTGAGGAATGCCCTTCTGAAGCAACAATTGAAAGACTTCAATAAAAAACACTTGTAAAACTTTTTATTAATGTTTATACTGAAAATAAATTATATTCGATAAAGGTAAAATAATAAATGTCTTCTCTCTAGAAATGATTCATTGTAATGTGATTTCTGTATGCTCTGCCATCCAGATTGTCGGGGACACAGTTGTTGTTGTCAGCATCATCGTCATCACTGCCCTCATCAGAATCATCGTCACTTTCTCCATCCTCGTCAATGATTGGCGTGTTGAGCAATTTTGCTAAATTATGAAGAACTGCGCAGGCCATAATAATCTTGCAAGCCCTCTCTGGACACAACGTTATCTCAGAATGTAATACATGAAAACGTCTTTTCCATTGTTCTATGGTTCTCTCAACAATGCACCTCGTCACCTTGTGTGATCTATGAATGAAAAACAAATAAATACAGGCACGTAGCATCGTTTTTGAAAGGGGGGGCAACCTGATAAATTTTTTTTACTTACCTAAAAAAAGTTGACAGGCAAAGAAAAAAAAAAACTCGAAAATCTTATATATATCTAATGATTTCCTATATTTCCGTGCTATGAATATACTGTGGTAGAAAACGGGGGGGGGGGGGGGGGAAGGGGCAACCATCTTTTCAATGGACATTTTCAATAGTAAAGGTAATGTTGGGGAAAAAAGTGCCCCCCCCCCCTGTTGCTACGTGCCTGAAATAATTGATTAATGAAGATGTATGCAATAATTAATGGGAGAGTAGGTTCTAACTTGAAAAAGTATATTATTTCTGGTTGTTTTTTTTTTTATCGAATGGTGATAATGCGGTAACTAACTGTAAATCAACCCGGAAATATGTCGATGCAGAAAATCATGAGAAAAAAGTTCGCAGTATAACATCATTATTGAATAAGATATATTTACCCATTGTATCTTCTTTCCTGTTGGGTTGCAGGGTTAAGGAAGGGAGTCGGGATCCAGTTTTTGCACGGATAGCCACTATCACCGAGAAGGTGACATTTAACAGGAATTAGTCCGGGTGTTTGAAATAATTGGCTAATGCCACTTTCTCGCAAAATTCTTGCGTCATGTGTTGACCCTGGCCACTTGGCGACTATGTCTAGTATATGACAATGTGCATCCACAACAAGTTGCACATTAACACCGTGGAAGTTTTTTCTATTAACAAATTCTTCTTCATTAACTGTAGGACGCAATATCTTAACATGGGTCCTGTCGATAGCGCCAAGCACTCCCGGAAAATTGGCGATGGCACGAAAGTCTGTCTGGTGCCTGTGAATTGTCTGAGCGTCGGTAGGAAATTTTATATATCTTTGAATGATATGTGGTCGAGTTAAGGCTGTAGAGACCCTTTGAACAATCCTAGACACAGTGGATTGGTGAATTCCGAAGTCATCCCCGTTACATAACTGCATTTTTCCTGTTGCGAAATAGCGAAGAGCTATCATGACTTGTAAATTAGTTGGTATGCTACAATTTCGACTTGTTGCTGGTGAAACGAAATCGTCAATCAGCGTCCCGATATGTTCAATTCCTTGTCTATCAAAACGGTAGCGTGTGATAAGTCCCACAGCATTGTATTCCGTAAAGGGATCTAATCTCCGCTTAAAAACACGACGTTGTCTTTGCTGTCTTGCAGCCATTTTGCTGTGGTAAGCAAAATGCTTAAAAACTTTAGACAAGGTGAGGGGTTGTTTAACTTTAAGCATATTCTAAGACATATAAGTAAGAATAAGAAACGTCATGCAATCCACTTACAACGTAAAGTGACGTACTAAGTAAAAAACGTCACTCTGCTTAAGGTAAATCGGCACTTGAGAATATACTTAGCAGAATAAGAATTTTTATGCATATGAACCCTGCTCTTCAAAAATGTAATTCTTCTAGAAGAGATTTATGGCATTTTCTTAATATATTTACTTTAATTTACAAGCGGAATGTACATATCTGTGATAAGTAACTAACATCATGATGGATAAAAATCTTGTTGAATTCATTTAAGTTATGTTCTGAAATGTTCCCACAAAATAACTTCTATCTTAATATTGATTGCCATCAAAATTGAATTGGTGTTTTCATTTTGAGCTAAAACAAACAGTTGCATAATCAACCTCTCTAAAAATCACACGTGTCACGTGCATTGGGGCGTAACTTACATTATTATACTTTCATGTTAAATACTAAAATCTGATTGGTTTAGACGCAGTTAACAATCAGGGTTCATATGCATAAAAATTCTTATTCTGCTAAGTATATTCTCAAGTGCTGATTTACCTTAAGCAGAGTGACGTTTTTTACTTAGTACGTCACTTTACGTTGTAAGTGGATTGCATGACGTTTCTTATTCTTACTTATATGTCCTAGAATATGCTTAAAGCTAAACAACCCCTCACCTTGTCTAAAGTTTTTAAGCATTTTGCTTACCACAGCAAAATGGCTGCAAGACAGCAAAGACAACGTCGTGTTTTTAAGCGGAGATTAGATCCCTTTACGGAATACAATGCTGTGGGACTTATCACACGCTGCCATTTTGATAGACAAGGAATTGAACATATCGGGACGCTGATTGACGATTTCGTTTCACCAGCAACAAGTCGAAATTGTAGCATACCAACTAATTTACAAGTCATGATAGCTCTTCGCTATTTCGCAACAGGAAAAATGCAGTTATGTAACGGGAATGACTTCGGAATTCACCAATCCACTATGTCTAGGATTGTTCAAAGGGTCTCTACAGCCTTAACCCGACCACATATCATTCAAAGATATATAAAATTTTCTACCGACGCTCAGACAATTCACAGGCACCAGACAGACTTTCACGCAATCGCCAATTTTCCGGGAGTGCTTGGCGCTATCGACGGGACCCATGTTAAGATATTGCGTCCTACAGTTAATGAAGAAGAATTTGTTAATAGAAAAAACTTCCACAGTGTTAATGTGCAACTTGTCGTGGACGCACATTGTCATATACAGGACATAGTCGCCAAGTGGCCAGGGTCAACACATGACGCAAGAATTTTGCGAGAAAGTGGCATTAGCCAATTATTTCAAACACCCGGACTAATTCCTGTTAAATGTCACCTTCTCGGTGATAGTGGCTATCCATGGAAAAACTTGATCCTGACTCCCTTCCTTAACCCTGCAACCCAACAGGAAAGAAGATACAATGGGTAAATATGTCTTATTTAATAATGATGTTATACTGCGAACTTTTTTCTCATGATTTTCTGCATCAACATATTTTCAGGTTGATTTACAGTTAGTTACCGCATTATCGCCATTCGATAAAAAAAAAATAACAACCAGAAATAATATACTTTTTCAAGTTAGAACCTACCCTCCCCCTTATTATTGCATACATCTTCATTAATCAATTATTTCAGGCACGTAGCAACAGGGGGGGGGGGGCACTTTTTTCCCCAACATTACCTTAACTATAGAAAATATCCATTGAAAAGATGGTTGATCCCCCCCGGTTTTCTACCACAGTATATTCATAGCAAGGAAATATAGGAAAACATTAGATATATATAGGATTTTCGAGTTTTTGTTTTTTGTTTGTTATTTTCTTTGCCTGTCAACTTTTTTTAGGTAAGTAAAAAAAATTCTTAGGTTGCCCCCCCCCCCTCCTTTCAAAAACGATGCTACGTGCCTGTTTTTATTTATTTTTCATTCATAGATCACACAAGGTGACGAGGTGCATTCTTGAGAGAACCATAGGACAATGGAAAAGACGTTTTCATGTATTACATTCTGAGATAAGGTTGTGTCCAGAGAGGGCTTTGTTACAACGCGAAATGTAATAACAACGCGAAATGTAATAAACCTGGCTTATTACATTTTGCGTTATTACATTTTGCGTCGAAATCAACGCAGAATGTAACAACGCAAAATGTAACAACACATTTTGGAGAATTATTACATTTCGCGTTATTACATTTTGCGTCGAGATCAACGCAAAATGTAATAACGCAAAATGTAATAACACGATTTTTAACATTTTGCGTTGTTACATTTTGCGTCGAGATTAAGCAAAAGACAGGAACACAAAATGTAATAACACATTTTTTCGTTGGACAGATTTTCAATAGTGTAGTGGCTGATGAAAAGAAAATAAAACATTACAAATGAAATAAATAGATCAATTTCTTACAATTCATATTTTTTAGTACTTTGATTTAATTAGTTACATGTAGTTCAAATCAGTTTAATAAATGCATTCATATATGATATGTGTTGCAAATTTGAAACGTGCATCTGTGGGCAGGTTGTTTTGATATTGAGCTGTGTGTTTTTGCCTTTTTATAGACAATTGCAATGAATTTAAAAAAAAATATTCATTTGTACTAGCAGGTGTACATGTATAGCGGGAAGGGGATTATTGACAATAATGATACCATACTGTTCCATGCAAATCTCCAGCATTGCAGACAAGCAAAATCAAAATATTCTCTCTCTCTATCTCTGTCTCTCTCCATCCTATAATAAAACGGATTGTTTCTGCATGTCCACAGTAATACAATAATAAACATACGAAGTAAACACCCCGCCCTATCCCTGCCTCTCCGATCATCGCTTGACACACACATACACTTCTATTCATTTGTTAACCAATGTATACGTGCCGAAAATGCATATCAAGAGCTTTTAATGAACCTATTGTCAATCTTTGTTAATTAAATATGTTATATTTGTTAGAAATTTAATAAGATTATCAAAAATATGCCAATCAAAGTTAAATAAATTCTTTATAATTAAGTACAGTGTATTCAATACAACTAAAATCAGAGTCAGAAAAACGATACATTTTGATGTATTATGTCCGGAAAAAGCCCTAACGTTGATCCATTGTTTTAATTTAAAATATTTTTACAGCGCATTTCCCATGTTGGTTACATGTATATATTTGAATCAATTTTATGATCTTTTTTGTTCAACGCAATCAAAAATATTAATTATATTTTGTTTTATTACTTATTTTTTTTATTACATTTTGCGTTGTCTTCAGTGAAAAAATAAAATAACGCAAAATGTAACAACGAAAAAGCATCTTATTACATTTTGCGTCGAGATCAACGCAAAATGTAATAATGCAAAATTTTTGTAATAACCTAAAAATTGTGTTATTACATTTTGCGTTATTACATTTTGCGTTGATCTCGACGCAAAATGTAATAACGCAAAATGTAATAATCCAGGTTTATTACATTTCACGTTGTTATTACATTTCGCGTTGTAACAGGGCTTGCAAGATTATTATGGCCTGCGCAGTACTTCATAATTTAGCAAAATTGCTCAACAGGCCAATCATTGACGAGGATGGAGAAAGTGACGATGATTCTGATGAGGGCAGTGATGACGATGATGCTGACAACAACAACTGTGTCCCCGACAATCTGGATGGCAGAGCATACAATACAATGACTCATTTCTAGAGAGAAGACATTTATTATTTTACCTTAACGATTATAATTTATTTTCAGTATAAACATTAATAAAAAGTTTTACAAGTGTTTTTTATTGAAGTCTTTCAATTGTTGCTTCAGAAGGGCATTCCTCAGACGGAGGTTCTCAACTTCGAGTTGAAGTTTCTCTCTAGCTATGTTACACGTAGCTGTAGTTTCTCTTGGAGAATTTGGCGGCATCGGGAAGGCCGAGATAGCCAGTGACACATCTTCTTGGATAATGGGCTGACTCGTGCACGTTGAGAGCTGTGGGTCGAGCTGAAAATCCTCCACCACTCGTCTGTTAAAAAATAATTTTTAAAGAATTATACTCGTCATTTATGAGCATCAAATTATCGATTTACTATTCAAAAAAAAAAAATCAGCCAGAACAGTCAATATCGAGATTTAAAAAAAAACAGTAATAAAGTTGACTGACACTTAAGAAAGCCTTACCCTTGAAGTGAACTCGATGGAATGTCTTCCATGCCCCTGTTGAAATTGTTAAACGTCATCAAAGACAGAGGCGTAGTCATAAACTTAAAAGTGGGGGGAGGGGGGGGGGCTCAACTCCAGAAAGTCTTTGACAAGCAAAAAAAAAAAACCAAACTTAAAAGTGGGGGGGGCTCAACTCCCGAAATTCTTTGACAAGCAATGAAAAAAAAAACAAAACCTAAAAGTGGGGGGGGGGGGCTCAACTCCAGAAAGGGGGGGGGGTAGAGGCCAACTTTTTCAAACTCAAGTTACTTTCAAGTCCAATTATACAAGGTTCAAACCTTGGGGGGGGGGGGGGGGTCCATTCAATGAATATTTCCTATAGTAAAGGTAATGTTGGCTGTGATTTTGTTCTTCTTTAAAAAGTAGGGGGGGGCACAGACATACTCTTGCCCCCCAGATCTGAAAGTGGGGGGGGCTAGTGCCCCCGCTGCCCCCCCCCTGTGACTACGCCTATGAAAGAGGAATCAAAGGCCCCAGATATTCCGCAGATAGAAACATTTTCCTCACCAATTACCTCCTCAACAGTTCGTGGCAATGCACTTAAAGGTTTTTCTGCTGGTCCTCCACCTATGTAAATTGAAGCATTTTGTTTTTATATAAAATTTGTTTTTTTTTTTTTGTTGCTTTCAAAAAGATATATCCATTATTTCATGTATATAAAAAGTTTACATTTTCTTTATCAAAAAATACCGGGGATCACTTTAGCTGAGATAGTAATATTTTTTTCACTATGGCTTGCTAATTTCGAGTTGATTGTAATTCACTATAGTACATGATTTTTTTTTATTTCTGAAAAAATCATTATTACATAGATCTACGCATTTGTTTGGAAAATCTAAAAGTTCTTCGCGGTGTGCACAATCTAATTTAAAGTAGATGTTAGATCCAATGTAAGTGTAACGAGTATGTGAGAGGATCTAACATCTACTATTTATTAGATTGTGTAAAGTATTTTCGGTAACCGAAAGTGCTGGTCGGGGGGGGGGTTATAAAAAATAAAGGTATGGTTATATTCTCGCACAGGCCATTAGGGTAAACACAGTGAGACTATGACCTATAATAAACTAATAAATCAAAATAAACAATCTGCATGATAACCAAGGTCGTCCAAATTTCCGTAATCTTTCCGTGCTAAAATAATTTCCAAAGAATGACTGCACTTAAGGACGTTATTTGGAACCTTTTCGGCTACCCATTTGAAGCTTAACATTACAATAAATCGCTGAATTAATCTATGATTAATGTGCAAGCATATGCTTTTGACATTTATTTCTATAATTTTTCGTCATACATATTTCAATAATTACATACAACGCTATTGAAAAGAACATGTTTAACCCATAAATTCCGGAAAATTGAACTGGACCGCTTTCGATTTTAAGGTCGCAGCAAAGGGGCGGAGACATTTAAATCGCATGGAAATGGATCATAAGCGCATGGTTTTCCGTATTTGATTTATATTTTATATATATATATAAAGACCGAGAAGAGGGTTTTGTGTTCATTTTGTACAAAAAATAAATGATTTATAACCATGCATATAATTTCATTAATTTGTATCCACGTAAGTAAGTAGAGTAAGTAAGTAAAGAGCAGAATATTAAGAGAAAAAAACAAAAAGTTCATAAAAATATACACAATTGTGATAAATATATGTATGCATTTTGTACGCTTAGGTTGGTAGTGTCTGTTTTGAGAATTATTGGTAGATGAAAATGACACTGAAATACATTTTATTTTCTGAACATAATGGGCTGTCTTCGCATAAATGAAAAATAATTTGCAACCTGTCTATAGGATAATCTGAAATAAGTACACACAGTAAATCCATATATGACCTTGCCATTTGATTATTGGCAGAGTTAATTTTCAAAAAAGTTTTGATCGGTATTCAGAGTACAAAGGACAAATGATTGCAGTAAAAAAAGTGAATTTCGGCTTCTACATTATCAAGCACTGCATATTTTTCTCTATCTAACGTTCTTATAAAATTTGGAATGCTTAAAATTTCGAATTCACTGCTCATGTATTATTTGCTGTCAAGCAGCGAATTACTTAAATCTTAAAATTATTAAGTGTTCGTACCTACAGTGTATTAAAAAAAATGACATTTTCACTTTATCTTAATCGTATTGAATAATAATTGTGCACTTATTAGTAACATAAAAATAAAATAAAAAAATAGTTTTTTTTAATGATGACGCTTCTACCTTGACCTAAAACTGGTCGGGCTCCCGTTTTCAAATTTCTGGATCCGCCACTGCTATATGTACAGCATGTAATCAGCAAAAAATTACCTTTTCCCTTTAAAATACCCCGAACAAAAACACTATAGTGAAAGAAATCAACGTAAACTTTAAAACGCTAATAAAATGTACGCAATGATCTTCAATATTTTGAAGATGGAAGTACATGTAGATATGAAAAGAATTTTCCAACGACTGACACAATGAAAGCGTGTCGAACACTTGAATGTCAAGTGAGAAAAGTGATTATAATATCAAAGGGGTCACATGGGCTGAAACTCGTAACCTGCTAATTTAGTAGCTATCTCGAGCGAAGTTTGGGTACATTTTTTTAAAAATTAGATATGAGCCGCAACTTGACCAACATTGTCCTTCGGATATGTATAAGTTTTAGTTAAAATACACATTCCAGGCACGTAGCATCGTTTTTGAAAGTGGGGGGGCCAACCTGAGAAAATTTTTTTTTTACTTACCTGAAAAAGTTGACAAGCAAAAAAAAAAAAAAAAAAAAAAAATTAAAAGTTGCCCAAACACGAAAATCCTATTTCGTTTCGTGTGTGTGTGTGTGTGTGTGGGGGGGGGGGGGGGTAGTGGCCTTACAATCCTTGCTATCACTATACTATGGTTATAAAGTGGGGGGGGGCAACCATCCCATCAATGAACATTTACTATAGTAAAGGTTATGTTGGGGAAAAAAGTGGGGGGCCAGGCCCCCCCTGCCCCCCCTCCCCCCCGGATGCTACGTCCCTGCATTCTGGGCAAATGAGAGAAATGGTCAAGTTGCGGCTCGATGTAAACAATGTCGTTGAAAACTGGTATGCATATGAATAACAATAGAAATGAGACAAAACTGTTAGACCCCTGTTTCAAAAGCTAGTGTCGCTCGGCATTATTTAATACTTTCATGTAATATAGTAAACCAAAACCTGCTCTTAAGATATTGTTTAATACCTATAAAACATAAATTTAATGAATTTTGGAATTTTATTTTGCGCAAATCATTGGGATCCAACTCTCATAGCTTAAGTGCAGTCATTCTTTGACACAGTCTACTCTTTCAGTCTTTGACGCCTGTTTTTTGTCATTCGAATTTAAACGACCCAAAAGTCCTACGGTACATTATTACACATGTAACTTTGGTACTTTATGAAATAATTTTTTAATACATTATGAGTCTCTTGACTTGGAATATCAATTTCAGAATTTCACAGTTAGATCTAATGCTTACATCCCGTTATATATAATGCCTCAATACCGACAATAGAGTTATCACCCTTATATCACTTGTATCTTAGGTACGATAAACAACATGGCTGACATAACATGCATACCAAGCATTTCACGAACCTGTTATTTGCAAACTTCTTCTAAAATCAGATATTTCTCCCCTCCCCTTCATGTGGATATTATGCCACTTCTTTTCGACTTCTATAGTCCGGACGGTTGAAGGGTTGGCTGCATTAATTGCTTCAGTAATATTTTTCCATACTTCCCTTTTCTTTTGAGTGGTCACTCCGGCGCCGAATTTAGCCCTCAAAATTTTCTTATTATCGTTAAATAAACGCATTAAATGTAAACATTCTTCCAGTGTCCAGTTTGGTTTACGTTTCTTCTCTGCCATATTCAGACGATGATGATGACGTAAAACGGGAGATTCAATATCGTCAAAACCCGCAATGACGTCACACCATTGTGACGTTTTATTTTAAGCAAGAAGTGATATGCTTTGCTATGATGCACTAAGTAATGCATTTAGAATTTTTATGCATGAAACTTAAAGTATGTTTCTTAGTTAAGCAGTTTGATCTGGGAATAAGTATAATACTTAGATCTAATAAAAATTCTTAGATTTTTTATGCATATGAACCCTGTTCTATTACGGCCTTAGCAACACACGTGACAACGGGTAACACAACGGTAATGCCACATGCCTGGAACTTATGCGCGTACGGTTCACCGTAGAAATCTCGAAACGCGTACGTCAGTTGCGCGTTTGAAAAAACCGAAATAAACTTGACGTCAATAAAAGCTTGCGTCCGATGTAGCTTTCTTGAAAACAACAAAAGTCAGACGAAACATGCTTGCGAGTGCAGAAATAACGAAACTTTAGATGATAAAGGACTCGTAGAGTATCAAATAAACAACTAGTGCTAATTGTAACGGGGACCGTTACAGATGTTCCCCAAACGCTCTCCAACTTTCTTTTGGTGCCACATTCCCTGTAAGCTTCATTAAATAAGACAAACT